AGATACTTTGCGGGGGAGGGGGGAAGGGGGGTGGGGGGAGATGACGGCATGAAACTCATGGAACATCAAGCGATATTGCCAATTCCACAAGAATGTCTAACAAATATTATAGATAAGTTAAAACAAAGTTATATAGGAGCTTACAAATATTAGTATGATAGTTTCTAATTGTGTACTAAGAGGCCTAGTTTAAGACATCTTCCTAGAACGTGGTTGTGTAGACGAGGTGCTCTTCAAAAGACTTGTATTTGTGTATGAAATTTAAAATTTTTATTAATAAAATAAAACGCTTTAGCCTTGAATTTTTGTTAAGAATTGTCTTACTTAGTTACTTTATAGCTTGAGATTAAATTAAATAAATTATAAGTCTATTATAATTACTAAAATATTTCGCGACAAGTATCTTGCTTTAATATTTTATAATTCTTTACTTAGTTTTTTAATAATTTATTAAGTTTTAAGTTCATTAAAAAGAGTCAAAAACTAGCTGTTGCAAACTTTAAAAACTTATTCATTGTCAACTTTAAAAAAATAACTGTTGCTATCTATAAAATATATAGCCGTTGTCAACTTTAATGTTTAAATATTGAAATTTAGAAAAAAATGCCCACTTAGGGCCCACGACCCGTCTCGTTCGTTAGTGGGACAGAACGTCAGAACGGGCCTACCGGGTCGTCTCATTTATCCCGCCCTGGATAAGGCCCGATCCTTTTCTGTCACCATAAAATTCCGTCATGTCTCGTTCCGTCCCGTTGGACAGCGATACTTATAAGTTGTTTGGTGTTAGGTGGAAAGTTAAAAAGGAAAAATTGCAAAAACTCGTCTTGTGTTATAAAATAATAAAAGAAGAAGAAGAGTATTACAAAGAAAAGTAGAGAGAGAGAATTCTTATTGATATGGGATGAATTACAATGGGAATAGAAGCCTCTATTTATAAGGAGAGGGTGACTTAGCCACCAAGTAATGAACCCTAGAATCTCTCTAAATATAGACATTCACCATAAATACAATTCTATTTATAACACTCCCACTTGAATGTCTATTCAACAGATAATGTGCCTCGTTAAAACCTTAACTAAAATAAAACCCAGTGGAAAAAAAATTCTAGAGAAGGAAAAAGAGTACACATATCTACAATACGCCTTTTGGTTGCCTCGTTAAAAACCTTGCAAGGGAAACCCAGTGGGACAAAACCTTATAAGGGAAAAAGAGTACAACGCGTATTAACTCCCCCTGATGAGAGCATCAATTCACATCTTTAAGCATTTGCATTCCAATCTTGTGCACCATCTTCAAAAGATCTTTGGTAGATATTTGATAAAGAAATCAACCATATTAACTTGAATGAATATATTGCACCTTGAAATCATCATTCTTGATAGAGATATAATGTCTTCATAAATATCGTAGAATGGCTCTTCAATATCTCTATGGAGGTATTCTCGCTATCACATTATCATGCTTATAGTTATAGCAAGATACATATGTGCACAAATTGCACTGAGGATGTGTTACTTCAAGATCAAGAATTGTATATGCTTCAACCAATTTAAATCATTTGGGGATTGTCATATAAGTATAGTCAAATAAGCCATTTAAATAGACTTTAGATGCATATCAACTTTCCATGTCATGCTAGACATATAAGATAACGAAAACTGATTGCACATACCATTGACTTTATACTTTCAAGTGTTTGAACTACATGTTCAAAACTACATGTCTCATATGAAACCAAATCTATTCGAATTGTTTCTTCAGACTTAAGATCCTCATATATATTTAGCGCTATTATAGATGTCGTCGACAAATATTTTGTATCGGTTCCAACCTCCTTATTTTTCACAAAGACATAACATAGAGATCTCTTCATTCATATATTTCGATACCTGAATCTCTCATGAGATTTTATGAAGTGTTATGTCATGTGATCTTCTAGATCATTTGCCTCCTTTATTATGATCATTTGCTCATCTTCTTTATCAAGAAGTTTATTTGAAACCGATTTGTCTATACGCTTTAAGCGTACTATAGACTTTGTCCTTCTAGGACTTATTCAAATAGGAGCATTTGCAATGAGAATATAGTTACTTTCTTTGGGTCAGCAAATGCGTCTGGCATGCTTTGCAATAAATCGCACATGAATTATCCTTTTATGAACTTCAAGTTCATATTATTTTATTCGAGGATCTAGATGTATAAATGATAATTCATTCCATGTAACTTTTTCTCAACTGTTGTATCTTGTCTCCCCCTCATGTTAGAAAAACTAACTTGTTTCCTCAACTTTGAGAACCCATGCGTTATGGTGTTAATCAAAATATACACCGCGCATCAATAATAGTAAGATGGAATTATTTGGTTCCTGACCCTGAACCACTTGTGAGGGAAAAATGCAATATACTTTCGTATATAACATATATCAAATTGATATATATAACTTTGTTCTCATAAGCAATTGTTTAGCTATTAAGTAGAGGCACTTAATAAATCATTTTGCTAAACCAACTGTGATGTAAACCAACTTATCAAGATGAACTTCTTGAATAGAAAATCTGGAAATTATGCTCGAAATTAAATTATTGAGCAAGTTACCTCGCAAACACCATGTTGCGGGTTAATAATAATCGCACATGTAACCATCTCATAGATGCATCTTATGTGGTATACATGGCAGGTGAATGAGCCCATATTCACCTTTGATATTTCCAGCATTCATGGGATTCAATCCCAATTTTAGTTGGTCTATTAATTAATGAGAACAAGCAATGTAAGAGAATTCGTAAAGAACTTTCTAGTTCTTTAATATTTACCCATGTGAATTCTCATTTATTTTTGCACATCATACTTGAATTAACATGGCTAAACCAATTATGCCAACTGGATAAATTATCAATATTGATAAACTTCAGGTTTACACCATGATGTGTGCAATTATGAATAAACTCCAAGTTTATTATGATATGGATTTTTATATCAATAAAATATCCACTTCATTGTGGTATTCTTTTGTTTATGTAGTACAAATTGGAGAATAAAGCGGGTAGCTTTTCACATACATATTATCCCGCTACAAGTTGTAGTAATAGAAGATATTAAATTTTTTCTTTATTTATAGTCTCAATATAATCAACCGCTTTCGCGTATACTTTGGAAACTGAATAAGTTTCTTTGAGACTTACTACAACACAATACCTTATTGGTAATTAATTGTGTTTCTCCAAAATAGTATAATTGGCTCTTGCAGAGTTCTCAATTAATTTTGTAGTACCACATATTCATCAACACCCATATGGTGAATATCTCTTTTAAAGAGAAAGTTATACCATTATGGTTATGGTCAAAATTATATGCAAGATCTATTTCTTGCATTACCGTTGTCTTTTAATAATCACAATGCCAAAATATTTTGGCGTACAATAGGTACGTGACCAATGATCATTCATGCCATAATAATGACATTATTTTCTTATATCATCTCAAACCTCCTTTTAGAGGTGAGTGCGGTATATTCACTACCACTAGCACGTTCATATTCTTTGAAGAATGAATATGTATTCATAAATAAGATGTTGTCACATTCACATCATGAATGGACCATAATCATCTATATGTGCTTTATAAAATCTCATGTCAAATCGATGACAAATATTACTTTCACAAGTGGGGGATTATTTTGAGAATCCTTATTATTCTCATTACCACGATAATGACGATTATAATTTCGTCTATTGCCACGTCCATATCCATTGATACATTCATAGTAATAATTTTGTCTTCTTTCAGACTTATCACATACTGCTATCACATTCTCTTAAGGGAATGAGAATGGAGCAAATTCAATGGGACGGGTTTCCACTTTTTGTGCCCATAATCATACATGAATTTGATCATGGCAAGACATAGAAATTTTTACCACTTTAGGTGGTTATAGTTTCTTACAAACTCTATTAGAGTTATAATCAAACTTTGTTGTCTTTGCTTGTATTTAAAATCAAAGTATAGAATAAAAGAGAAAAATACGGTAAAATACTTACCTTAAATCCAGAATTTAATCATGAAGGAAGTTCATGGAACAATTGACAGTCATTATGCTCAATCCCAAAGCTTTTACTCAAGTGGTTAGAGTCTCGTGCTGATAACGTGTTATAAAACAATAAAAGCAGAAGAACAATATTGCAGAGAAAGAGAGAGAGGAAATTCTTATTGAATTTTTTGGGATGAATTACAATGGGAATAGAAGCCTCTATTTATAGGGAGAGGGTGACTTAACCACCAAGTAATGAATCCTAAAATCTCTCTAAATTAGACATTCACGATAAATATAATTCTATTTATAACATCTTGAATGTTTGAAGCAAACGCCAGTTCCTTAAGTTGGAAGCTGTGTACTTTTCTACGAAGCTCCCTCTAGAGTTATTACCCATGAGAAACGACTCATTGCGTTTGCCCCGCGTATGAGAAGAGAAGTGGGCTTTTTAATATTTTAATTCCAGTGTCAACTCTACCGCCTATGTTTAGCCACGTCTGATGATTTGTCCCATTGGATTAGAACTGTATTTAAATGAAAGGAAAAAAGCCATTCTTCCAAAATTAGCTGAAATCTGCGAGCAACTAGCCCCTCTTTTTTTTTCCCAAAAAAAATCTGTATTATTGCCAATCTCCCTTCTCTTCATACAATCTTCAATTATACGAAAAAAAAAAAAGGAAGGTTCATTTCACAAGGTATGTAGTTCTCTTGATTTCTTGATTTGAATTTCATTTTTATCCCCAAAGATTTTCATCTATTTGATCAATAATCATTATATGATCAAGTGAGTGTGATTGAATTTGCTAATTGAGTAGTGGGTAATCATTAGTTTTCTCAATTCAGGTGAAAGAAGAAGATGGGTCATCACCACCATCATCATCACCACCACCACGAAGGAGGCAGTCCATATGATGATCCATTTTTGGCATGTTGTTGCTGCCCTTGTTTGCTACTCTCCTCTGTTTTCTCCATGTTTAGCAGGTGTATCTTTATGGCCTGCTATCCTTTTCTGCAGTGTCTTGGATGGGATGAACACAGACACCATCATCACCACAGCCATTTCTGTTAATCCCAAATTAAAGGAATTGTTTTTTTTTTTTTTTGAGTCTTCAACTCTAGCAACATAAATGTGTGAATTTGTGTTCAATTTCAGAGGATTGTTTCAGTTTGGTTGTTGTGTATACTTTTTCTTGTACCTGCTAGTTTACTTTTGAATTATTGTTTGTTCACTCCGAGTCCAAAGGGGTTGAAGAAAAATAGAATCTTTTCAACAATTTGCTGTCTTAATCACGATGTTCCATATGTTTTGTTTTTCTTTTTTGGGAATTTGTGATTCAAAATCAAGGATAGTACTAGTCCTCCAGATTTTGGAGAATCATAATGATGATTGTGAATCTCCAACTTCACCATATTAGTTGGAGTTAAAAGGAGAAATATAACTAAGAAATATTGTCTGACTGCTAATGAGATACAAAATCTTGCCACCAATTACAAGCTCTGACACAAAAGGTACGCTCCTTCGTGGAATGAGACACACAACAATAACGATAGACCTTCGATAGCGGTAGAGAAGCTGTTTCGACAGACCTTCGGCATCCTTCCCTCCCAAAACTCCCAACCTTGCTCTTCCCTCCCAAAACTCCCAACCTTGCTCTTGGGGTGACTCGAGAGCAACCGTGGAAAGAGACAGAAGAGCAAAATAGATGAAAAGAACAAGGTCTGCCTTTTCTTAATGAAAGCTGGAATTTCTAAAGCTCCAGAGATATACAACTGAATTCACGAGTCTTTAGAATCTCGTAATCACTCTTATACATGGTAATATATATCTCTCCCTCTTTCTCTTCTTTTAGAAGATGACAGATGAGAAGAGTCAATCTATCATCAGCATTGCATTATTTGACATCTCAGCCTTTCGACATCAGAGTGCTTCAGAGGCTTCAGCATGAAAATCTGAGCTCCTTCTTCCATGCATCTGTCCATTTCACACAAGTACTCTTTGTTCAGTATCATATCACAGCTACAAAAATGAAATATAATATAATATTGAGGTGGTTAGTTAATTATAAAATATATTACTGATTAATTCGAGTTGGGATATTCTCGGATGACACTATCACAACCGGCACATCCTTCATGATCGACGATTCCTGCTTGCAATGCAATGAAGCAAATTTGAGTTCAAACTCATTATGAGTAACTAAACTAAAAGAGTTGTTTTTGAAGAATTATGTGCCGAGCTATATACGTTGCTGCTCGCTGGGAATGAACTATACCTTGATTTTCTTAAGCAGTTCATAACCTGTCATTCCTGGCATGCAATAATCTGTTATTATCATATTAACTTTTAAACCCTGCACAACAAAGTATATATATTAACACCACAACTTAGTAGAGCCTGTAATATTCAAGTATTTGAGTGTTTAAGTTATATACACAGATCACGTTATTACATATAACGTGACCACTGCGCAGAATGCAAACTCAATCTTTATTCAATAGAGACTCACATTGCTATTAGTAGAGCTGTCATGATGTGCTCCCAAACCCAAGTACTCCAAAGCCCTCAGACCATCTTCTGCAGTAGTTACTGAAGGAAAATTGCAAATCATGAGATCGATTATATATTTATATTGATCCATCTTTCACTTGCTTGTGCATTAATATAATGTTTCACATTTATATTAATAGACATATGTAGAGCAAAACAATCGCGTAATTTAACTGTTGGATTGCAGCAAAAAAAAAAAAAGAACTTAGCTTGTATGTACAAGGTACAGATAATCCAGTGAGGCATGGTGTTAATTTCCGACCAAACTGAGACAATATCTTCATACAATATAGTAAATTATATTATCCGGGCTGTATCTTTCCCATTTATGGGTAAGGAAAATAATGAAAAGCCATGATCAGTTGAGTCGCGCACGTTATGAACCACATGGGCTGAAAAGTCTACAACGAAGGATTGTGAAAGATTTAAAGATGTAAAATAAAACATAAAGAAAAGCAGTGTGATCACGTAGGTACAGCTGTTGGCAAATCCAAAAGGTTGACCAAAGGACAAGGCAAATGCCAATATCGAATTAGTTTTCAGGCACGGTTTTACATTTTTTTTTTCTCCTTGGGGGTTTGAGTCCTAGCGTAGGCAGAATCTTACACAAATAGTGCCACATATATATTCATAATTTGGTTTTTAAGCGGGATTAGATCGGCGTTTTGGTGCTTATTAAAGCTTTACTTCATATACCAACTAATATTGAATTGTTTTAAAATAGAGGTAGATCCACGGTTAAACTTGAGAGGTTCGGCCTATAATTTTTTTAAGTTTTAAAATTATAGGTTCAGTTCTAATATTTATGTACATTTTAGTAGATTCTCACTTATAAATCAATGTTCAATATTGAAAATACATGAACCTGTTGGCGATGTGATGAATCTGCCTTGTTTTAATGTGGTGGCGACCTATATATTATCTACGTAGAAAATTTTTGTGTACACGCAATATTAGAAAATATTCTTGTATTTGATGACATATATCCTTGCTAAAGGGTGTCTCCTGTTGAAAGATTCAACATTATAAAATCTTCATCTCCAGTCATTCTTATGTCTACGAGTCTACGTTGCACAATGCAGTGCTTGAGAAACATTCAACATTATATTGATATCAAGTCTAAATAAAAAGAAACTGAAACATATTACATACTATCCACTTATTCTAATTAAATTAACTACAAGGTGAGGATAATTAATTAAAAAAAAAAAAGTGCTTACCTTTGCAAGAGGATTTCTTGAGTAACTTCTCAACAAGTTTACGATCAACAAGATTGTCATCCACAGCTAGCACATGGGGTTCATCACTTGCACTTATTCCCCTTGAAATTGATAACGATGAAGCAGAAGAAGCAAACGTCTCCATTTCTTTCACTTAATCCGCAGAAATTTCACTTTTACACAGGAGAATAATTAACATGTAGAGAGAAGAATCAAGAATGAAACTTTAAAGAAAAAGTAATGGAAAGAAAGAAGAAGAAGAGAGGTAATTATGGGACTAAAAGGATGGCGTGGGGTGGTTTTTTTAAGGGAAGGGATCAGCAAAAATAAAATCAATGAAAAGGATTGTCACAGATATTTCGTGATCTTGATTTTCACTTAAACAATATCCATATCAGTATATATATCTGCACACCGATTCCTCATATGCTCCCTCCAGCTCATTCCTTATTTTCTTTCTTTTTCGTGCTGGGGGGCTGGGGGGGAGGGAGTGGGGGAAGGGGAATCGGAGGACAATATTTTGGTGTTAGTATATGTAGGTAATTAAAGGGTAATCATGGCCCATGATTCATGGGTAGTGTAAAAGAATGTTATAGGTAACTGCACATGTTGAGAGAAATTAGTAACATGAAATGAAGACAGACCATTTGTAACAATATATTAAATTACATTGATAGTGCAAAAAAAATTATATTGCGATTATACATACATACAAGTTAAATCAATAAACAAATAACTAAACTATTTGATTTTAAAAAAAAAAAAAAAAAAGTCAAGTAGGTCTCAGTATTTCATTTGATGTGGTCATATGGAAGATGGAATAGGATGCAGAGTATCTGCTGGCAAAATAGAAAGGATTTTGAAAATAAACGATACGGTATCCAAATAAATCCTCATAATGGGGACCAAAATCTGGAAGCTGCATTGTTAAGATTTCCCACAATAAATTTTCACGAAGAGATGTGTAGTCTCTTGAACTCGGTCAGAGTAATTACTCAGCATGCAATCAATGGGTTCTGATTTTCATTCAATTTCAATACTTCATCATTCAATTAAGTTGCATTTAATATGGTGATTTGCTGCCGTAGTTAATGGATTTAGCTTGTATTTACACTATCAATACACTTCCCCGTCTAAAATTATTTGTCGTGTTCTTTAAAAATAATTGTGTTAAATAATATTGCGTAGGGGTGTTCAAACCAAACCATGTACCGGAAAATCGCACAAAATCGAAAAGTCAAATCAAACCGATTAAAAAATCCGACTAGGTTTGGTTTGATTTGGTTTGGTATTGAGTAAAAAACCCGAACCAAACCGGCATATAAATATATAATTTTTTTTTATAAGGATAAATATATAATTTTTATATATACATTTAAGACTTTATATATAATTTTCTTTAAAAATGTCTAAAAATATTTGAGATCCTCTCATAGAATATAATATTTAATAGAGCTATGAAATATATTTATTTTATCTACTTTAAATAATGGGTTGTATCATCACTTTCTTATCAAATGTTATTTAAATGCGTCTTTCTCTTTGCTCTTTCATATTCATATGTCAAGATTTGTTAAATTCTTATATCATTTTCGAATTTGAAATTACATTTTGATAATTTTAAAATTAAATAAAATATATTATTATTTAGGTTTCATAATAATTTTTTTATTTAATTATTAAATAGGTTAATCTTGAAAGCATACATTAACAAATTAAAAGATTATTGCTAAACGACTAAGAAAATAACTATCATGTATCACTAAAAACAATTCTCCCGTAAGATATTTTAATAGATCATACGTTTGTCTGTTTTTTCAGTGTTTACTAAACATATATTCAATTATCAAAACTTTATTTATAACTTCAAAGTAAAATTGAAATAATATTCATGTAATAAAAAAATCTGAGAACACAAAAAAATGACAAAATCGGACCAATTCAAGCCGATATAATTGGTTTGATTTGGTTTAGATAAAAATTGAACCAATCCGGTCCATGTGCGCCCCTAATGTTGCGGATCTTCTTGAAGTATTTGATTTTCAAGAAGTGTCGATTCACGTCTTGATCTCTTTGTGAGTTTATAAAATTTTCAAGATGTCTTTTCAAGGGATTATGTGCTCCTTTTTATAGGTGTGAGCTGGGTTTAGGGTAGGGGTGTCAATGGATATTTAAAAACCGATTAAACCGACCGAATCGTACCGTACCGAACCAATTTTAAAGTTTTTTAAAATAAAACCGTAGGTTTCTACATATATCTATAATCGCACCGATAATTAGGGTATGTTTTTTGTTTTACAAAACTAAACCGAAAAATTACCAAATCGTACCGAATAAATTTACATGTGAAAATATATCTATACATTAAGTTTAAAAATAATAAAATATTAATTTTTTCCTTGGGCGTTGGAATTATAAAAACAGTTACAAGCCATAAGTAATTAAACTCAAAATCCTAATTCCCAAACCTAGTATGCTACTCCTATTGAAACTAAATTTTTTCCATCATATTCACTAGTAAGATACAAGATATACTAGCGATTATGAGTAGCAAACTACAATATGTTGAATATGTTTCCTTTCATATGATTTAGATTTATCTTTTTGAATATTAATCTTCTATAGACTTTATTCTTGAGCCCCAACTTGGTTAATATCTTTCCACTCGTGTGATATATATATNCCCTTGATCATGCCTCAAATTACAGAATAGAAAAACTTTGTAAGAGATTAAGGATTCATATACACACATGTCACAGGAGTATACTAATCAAGTATGAGACTGAGTAAGAATTAGTCTAGATATTTGCATTGAATTAGAACTCCTAACCAAGTTTTTTTTTTCTCATCTTTTTCATCATTTTTTTTCATTGTGCATTCTGAACTAGACCTTTTAGGTGATGTTAATCATCCCTAATTCCAACCTGTTCCTTTCAAAGTTTTCCCTATTTAGTGCTTTGGTGAAGATGTCAGCTATTTGTTTATCAGTAGCACAGAATTCTATTGAGATTAATCCTTTCTCATAATTATCTCTCAAGAAGTGGTGTCTAACATCTATGTGCTTGGTCCTTTTATGATGAACAGGGTTCTTTGTCATACTTATAGCACTAGTGTTATCACAGAATATTGGTATGCATCCCACTTCTATACCAAAGTCTACTAATTGTTGTTTGATCCACAGTAGTTGAGCACAACAAGAAGCTGCAGCCATATACTCAGCTTCAGCAGTAGATAGGGCTACTGAATTTTGTTTCTTGGTGGCCCATGATATAAGACATGAACCAAGAAAGTGAGCCATACCTGAGGTTCTTTTTCTATCCACTAGGAAACCTGCATAGTCAGCATCAGCATAACCTACTAGATCGAAATTACTACCTTTAGGGTACCATAGGCACAATTCAGTAGTCCCCTTCAGATATCTCAATATCCTCTTGACAGCAGTCAAGTGAGACTCTTTAGGATTAGCTTGAAAACGAGCACAAAGTCCTACACTGAAAACAATGTCAGGTCTGCTGGCAGTAAGATACAAGAGTGAACCAATCATACCCCTATACAACTTTTGATCAACTGATGAACCAGGTTCATCAATATCTAATTTAGTGGCAGTTGCAATAGGTGTATCTATTTCTTTAGAGTCTTCCATTTTAAACTTCTTGATTAGTTCTTTTGTATACTTCTGCTGATGAATCATGGTTCCATTTGGACTTTGTTTGATCTGCAAGCCTAGGAAGAAATTTAGTTCGCCCATCATACTCATTTCAAACTCACTTCCCATTAATTTTGCAAAGTCCTTACTCAACCTATCTGTAGTGGCCCCAAATATTATATCATCAACATATATTTGCACAACAAGAAGATCTGTACCTTTTTCCCTTAGAAACAAAGTGCTGTCAATTTTACCTCTTTTGTACCCATGCTCCAGAAGGAATTTGACAATCTTTCATACCAAGCTCTTGGGGCCTGCTTGAGACCATAGAGAGCTTTATCTAGCTTGTATACATGATCAGGACATTCTTTACTTTCGAATCCTGGAGGTTGTCTCACAAACACTTCTTCTTTGAGATAGCCATTTAGGAAGGCACTTTTGACATCCATTTGATGAAGAGTGAATTCCATATGTGCTGCAAAGGCTATGAGGAGTCTAATTGCTTCAAGTCTAGCCACTGGAGAAAAAGTCTCATCATAATCAATGCCTTCCTCTTGACTATAGCCTTGAACCACCAACCTTACTCCATATCTGGAATGTATGAAATACGTATGAACGGAGGAAGAAAGAGAATTTTCTACTTAAATTGAATTGGAATTTATTGGAATTTTCAACAGATACAAATGGAAAGAAATTGATAAAACATCCCTAGAAACAGGCTATCCTCTTGCCTAGCAGGCAAAGATTTACCTCCGTGGAAAGGATGATTCATTCGGATCGACATGAGAGTCCAACTACATTGCCAAAATCCATGTTCCTTATTTCTTGTAACTGTTCCATCTTCATCTAGTTTGTTCCTGAAGACCCATTTTGTCCCAATGACTGACCTGTCTTTTGGTTTTGGAACTAAGTGCCAGACTTGGCTTCTTTCAAACTGATTGAGCTCATCTTGCATAGCATTGACCCAATCTGCATCTTGTAGAGCTTCACTCACATTTTTAGGTTCAATGAGGGACAGAAAAGCATTAAATGCACACAGGTTCTTCAGTTGTGATCTTGTCTTGACCCCAGATGTTGGATCATTGATGATGTTCTCAATGGGGTGAGAACTCAGGTACTTGTAAGATTTCCCCACCATCTGGTTCCTGCTAGTTTCTCCTTCATAGTTATGCTGCAGAGGAACAGGTTCAGGTACAGGTTCCTTCAGATTGGTTCCCCCTGTCAGGTTGCCCTGGGTGAGAGGACCTGTTCCATCACCTGCTCCTTCCTTTGATGCCACTTTGACTTGTGTTGTGGCTTCAGTCAATTGTCTCACCAGTCCAATGGCTTCATCTTCATGTTCCTGTCTCTCAGAAAGAGTGTTAGATTCATCAAACACAACATGTACACTCTCTTCAACACATAGAGTTCTTTTATTAAACACTTTGTATGCTTTGCTATGTGAAGAATATCCCAAGAATACTCCCTCATCACTTCTGGGATCAAACTTACCTAGGGAGTCTTTGCCATTATTGTGCACATAGCACTTACAACCAAAAGCCCTAAGATGGGATATGTTTGGTTTTCTCCCTTTAAGTAACTCATAGGGAGTTTTCTCTACAAGAGGTCTAGTCATGCATCTATTTATTATATAACAAGCAGTGTTTATAGCCTCTGCCCAGAAGCTATGAGGTAGTTTACTGGAAAGTAGCATGGTCCTTGCCATATCCTCAAGGGTCCTGTTCTTCCTTTCAACTACCCGATTTTGCTGAGGAGTCCTAGGGGCAGAAAAATTATGATCTATTCTATTTTCATCACAAAATTTAGCAAACTGTGCATTTTCAAATTCAGTTCCATGATCAGACCTGATGGATGCAAGTTGATTTCCTAATT